GTAGGGAAGGAGTGTAGCTTCCACGCTACACACACGTAAGAGAACAAGAGATGTTTTCTGGATTCTGTTGTCCAAGAGAAAGGGAGGTCCAGTTCCGGGCCCCTCAGTTCAAGAAGGACAGGAACTGCTGGAGAGAGTCCAGCGTAGGGCTACAAAGATGATGGAGGGAGTGGAGCATCTCCCTTCTGAGGAGCGGCTGAGGGAGCTGGGGCTCTTTAGTTTGCAGAAGAGGAGACTGAGGGGAGACCTCAGTCATGTTTATAAATATTTAAAGGGTGAGTGTCACGAGGATGGAGCCAGGCTCTTCTCGGTGACAAACAATGATAGGACAAGGGGTAACGGACACAAACTGGAACACAGGAGGTTCCACTGAAATTGGAGAAGAAACTTCTTCTCAGTGAGGGTGACAGAGCACTGGCCCAGGCTGCCCAGAGAGGTTGTGGAGTCTCCTTCTCTGCAGACATTCAAAACCCGCCTGGACGCCTTCCTGTGTAACCTCATCTGGGTGTTCCTGCTCCGGCAGGGGGATTGGACTGGATGAGCTTTGGAGGTCCCTTCCAATCCCTAACGGTCTGGGATTCTGTGATTCTGTTACCTTATCAAAAGCAAAACCAAAAGCCCCTCAGCAATAAAAATGCACACTTCCCTTGGGAAAAGGTTATGTGAGTATTTTGTGTTGATTAATGTTGATTTAATGAAGCAGTTCTCCATTTATTTGGTATATTAACCATTAGTTTTTTCTTTCTTCTTTTTTTATTTTCCTACAGGCGTGGTAAACCTCTCTACATATGCAAGGAGAGATACAAAGTGCTTGAGCAGCAGTGGGTGTCTCATACTTTTGATCATATCAATAAAAGATGGGGGCCACATTACAATGGCTTGTAAATCATCATCATCACCTACGTACCGTATCACTGGTGTTACCATGAACGAATGCATCTTGGCTGACAATAGCTTTAATTGAATGGAAGTTCAGCTCTTTGGCTCGGGGTGGAGTGGGGTATGGGCATAAAAGGGAAATAGAACTTTGTCAACACGTGAATTTTTTGCAAAATCAGCTGCTGTTGCTACTAAATAACGATACAGTAATTTGAAATGAAATCCTCAAAATGGTATGAGCAATCTGATTGCACTCAGTAGTTAATTTGTTTTTTAAAGCCCATTATTGTTAAGAAGCACAAATTTCACTTCCAGGGATAGCTGTCAGGTTTTTATTTTTCTCTGTGTGGAGTTGAGTTTTTAGCAGTTTTTGCTGAAGCAGTGTATGTGTCTACTACATCTACTAAATCTGTTGGCTAAAATTTCTTTGCCTCTTTTGTGTTGGTTTGAGGTTTTTGCTTGATAGGTGTTTGTAGTTAGACAGGACTTGTAAAACACTTGTGAGACTGCATGGTAACAATTGGTCTGAAAGTTGAATTTTAAAGAGTATTTCACTTATCATGAGAGGTCTGTTGAAATATTTCAGGCATTACTGAAAACTTACGCGTTCTCAGGAATTTCATTTTTTTCTCCATAAATAAGTGAAATAGCTGTAAATTAGGTCTCTTACTACTCTCAGTGTAATCCAGAACACATATTCCTTCTTTTTTTCTTCTTTTTTTCCAGAAAGGAGATGTTTTTCCATTTCAATTGGATAACCTGTTAGTGATAACCCATACAGAAATTGCTGTATATAGAGAATTTGTATGGTGCCCAGCATAGCAGATCCCAGTTACAGGCGTAACAACCATAAGCCTGCCTGTCACTTCAAACCAGACGTGTGTTTCAGAATGACTGGACTGGAAACGTGCAGGCTATTCTGCAAATGAAATGTCATTTTGTATCTTTCCTGTCATTTCAGGAGGTCCCTCTGTATTGTGTTTGTTTAGAGTAATCACTGTTCTTTCTGCTTGGTTTCCTAAAAAGGACAAAACCCAAACCAACAGAGATAGCCTAGATGACCACCCAATGCACATGCAGCCTCACTGGATGAATGCCAAAACAGTTTACGGTTAGAGGGCTGAAAAACTACTGAGAACAGGCATGCCTGGGCGAAACCCCACAGTGTAAGTAAGTAGGAAAGATTATAGTTAAAATACTGGTATGTAATATATTGCTACTAATGTTTTTCACAAGTGTTGGACATTCGTTGGCTATTTCATACAGTACTACCAAGCAGTTCGTGGTAGTTTTGACTTTCAGAGCTTGCGTGTAAAATAAAATTTATACGTGTAAAATAAAAACATCTTATGATAAAACAACACATACAATGAAAACAGTTCCCCAGTGGAAATCATTATCTAGTGAAAAGTGTATAGGGGAAATAAAACGACTGTATAGCAATCAAGGAGAACAGACAGGAGGAAAAGCAAGTAAATACAATGAGTTCTTCTGGATACCTGCAATTCAAACAACCCCACAATAAAGGATGCTGGTTTTTATACGTACATATAAATATATATATATTTCAAAAGTATTACAGTACTTCCTGTAAGATTAGAATTACTCTGTTTCACCAACTAAATGGCTTTGTCTTTTCCAAATTATTACTTTTTTGATACTGTATTATAAGTTCTGCCTGTAATATTTTTGCATTGCTCATTATGAATATCAGGCCATTTTGTAAGTGTGGTTAAAGAGCAAAAAGATTCTTTACATCTCCAGCATAGTAATATTACAGGGCTCATGAACTTGAGTAATCTGTACTTCGAAGCTCCAATGCTATATTTACAAGAGTATCCAGAATTTGATTACTGTGTTTTATTTAAAATGGAATGTTCTCTGGTTGTGCATATGGATGTGAAGTAAAACTATTAGCCTTAACTTTAACATTTGGGTATTTCATAGTGTTTATTTTAGTACTGGTGAATTAGTCACCAGTCAATTTAAAAGCAACAAAAAAAATCACTTGGTTGAAAAATTGTACTTGAATATCCTTGCATGCTGCTAAACAAGAATTTCGATTTCCCCCATAACTTTTTTTAATCCTACTTTATTAAGCTAACCTTGAAAAAGAACAGGTCCAAACTAGAGTGGTGTGTGCGTGTCTTACTCAAATGTTCTGGTGTGACACCCGGTATGAATGATCATTTAAGTACAGTACATTACTGTAGAATCTAAATCGATCTTTATAACACATCAGAAGAGTATAAAACTAGGAATATGGTAATCGATATTGTAAGATATGTTAATAAAAGTCTACTGTCAGTCTGTGTGTTCGTGAAGTTTTTTCTCTCTACCCCAGTCATCCAAACTGTAATTATTACAGAATTCCACCCAAAAGCCAGAGTCACTTAAATGTCCAAAGCTTATGCATGCGAAGGGCTTTGCACAGAGAGTAAATCTGCTCTCATTTTGTGTTTTTTTGTTCCTCACACACAGCCATCTATTTTGTATTAGTAATTTGGATTATTTTATTCTACTCATAACTACACCACTTCAAGTTGTGCTTCATTTTACGCCAGCTATTACAGCGTTGCTGCTGCAAACTGCTAAAATTAAAATGCTGAGTTGACAAAGTGTACTTCTGGGAAAACTCTGCTTGATCTTCTCTTCTGTCAGATCTCTTTCTGGAGTAACTGTTACTTCAATCTGATGAATGCATATACTTATGTATCATTTTTTTCCTTTTCTTTTGACCTTTGAGAAATTTGGTGAAACAGTCTTGTTTTCACCTTGACTTTTGGATAATAACGTCTTTTTTTTTTAGTGGTGGTCTGAAACTTTCAGTGAGTATTTTCATCACCTCTGCAAGAGAAATCTTCCATAACTTACAGCATTTCACAAGCAAATGACATTTTCTGTAAAAAGATCTCTTGCTACAGTATCCATCAAATACTATTTGTTACTTCAGAATCCTGCAAGATCATTTTGTGCTGTATGTATGGCTGCCATAGGAGACAGTAAGTTTTGTGCTGAAGTCAGTATGATTTCCATCTAATTTTCATCTAACCTAGGTTCTGCTGTCCTGCTTTTCACTTTCTTTTCTCAGAGGTGGGGGGTAATGATGAATGGAGCCTGTTTGAGCATTAGCCTAGACAAGAGTGAGATTAGGCTGTTTGCAAAGTAAGAAAGCCACAGGAATGAGCTGACCCAGTGGTCAGAGGTTCACAGGTCTCAGTTAGCAACTGCAGGACATGAGGGAGTGCATGCAATCCGAGGAGGCTGGCTCTGCGTGGCAATTTCTGTTGCGTGGATTGCTCACTGCACTCCCTGAGATCTAAAGGCCGTGCTCCGTGATTGCCTCCTCTTGGTAAGGCACAGTGCCCCGAGCACCTACTCTCATGTTGTCTCAGGCAGTTGTTTGCCTTCAAGTGCTCTTAGACTTGAGAACAGCCCCAGCTGCTGTGGGTTCAGCCTTGGCACTTAACCTGCCTCTTCTGCCACTGTAAAGTCCTGGCACTGCGGCTGTGATCGTGCAGTGTTGGACTAGCTGTCAGATCCTGGGAAGGGATGTCCTTAAGTAGGAAAAGCATATTCTCAGTGAAGCCAAACCCTTTATGACTTCTTAGCTGTGTAAATGGCCAGGATGTTTTGTTTTAAAAATCGTTTTAATTGATAGGTTGTTGTTTTGTTTTTTTTAATTCCTTGTATAATTCGTACATTCTTGCCACTACTGCTACTCAGATTTAATGCCACATGCTTCACATGTTCTGTTTCTTTGAAATACTATTGAGAAGTAAAATTGAATCTTGTTAAACAAATGATAATTTCAAAAAGCTAATCTTACTACTCTAGAACATGATTTTGCAATGTATGCTTTTGCATGGTACAGGAAAATGTGGATAAAAAAAACCGCAAACAGCAGTGCTTTGAAGAGCATTTTAAATTTAGCTCTGAGTCCCAGCTGAAGTGTCTCAAAATGAGCTTTCCTGAAGTACCATTATTTCAAAAGCCATTTCCTGTAATTCTGTCACTTGATGTAGAGCAGGCTGGTCTCTTAATTTGTGAAAACGGGAGCTGGTTCCATGGAAACCCCTCACATCACTGAATGATTTACTACCCAATAAACAACTTATTATTCCCTTTATCTTTATCCCTTTTATGTAACACATGGATGGTAAACCTTTCTGTTTCCACTGAGTATGGAAACATGTTTTAAGGATGAGCTAAAATACACCACCACCCCCCCCTTAGCTGCTGTCACGGAGCAGGAATTTTATGGGAGAAAGCCGTTTTCCTGTAAAATCAAACTCCCTCGGTCAATTCCTTATGCTGCCCATAGTGTTTGTGTTACTTTAGCTCCTGGAATTGCTTACATCACCTGTTGTCTGATACATTTCCCATTGTAGTTGCTTTCAACTTACAACTACTGCACTTTTCATTAATTTAGACTGGAAAACCATTATGTTGGGCTTATTCCTCATGGTTGGATTTTTTTAATGTTTCAGCAAAAAAAGCAAGATACCTTTCAGAGATTAAAACTGGACTAAACCCCAAATGTATTGTTTCCTTCATTTTAACAATAGTTTTTCTATGTGTTGGGCATATCTACTCTGTGCTTTGGCCCTAAAAGTGGTGAAAAAATGTGTGTGGGTCTTACATTAGAGTAGAATGGGAACTGCACACTGAAGCACTTACCAAATCAGAACAGCATGTTCTCGGGGATTACACGTAAGTACTGGCAAATACCTAAAGGAGATAATAAGCCTTTGTTTTTCAGGTGTCAAGGAATATCCTTTGCACCTGGGTCTTGAAGCCACTAATAGAGTTTGTGGTGAGAAGTGTTGTTTTCCTTCAGTTCCTTGGAAAAGTTGGCGTTCTCTCCATGTAATGCAGCCGTGTTTTTCATGCCTTTGTTGTTTCCATACTGCATATGCAACTACCTTGTTAGTGTACTATTCCACAACAAAAGAACCCTAAACCAGCTGGAGAGCCCCTGCAACTGTGTATCAGTTCTTTGCAAATAAGATTGCATTCTCTCAGAGCACTTTATGCACAGAGAGATGGGTACAGCTTGAAAACTACATGTCACTGCTTGCTTGCTCTACGGTGCTAGCCATTTCAGATTTGTTATACATCAGCTTTGAAAACTCTGAGAGCTCTGTAACGAGGTACTTAGAACCTAACACCAACGCTGCTGTGAAGTTACACATTGTAGAAACTACAGACATGCAAGTTCTGTTAAATGAAGATTGTCAGGGCAGCTGAAGGGATTGTTAAGTATTGTTTCATTTAGGTTCTCTAGCTGTCTGCTTTACCCTGTTGGTTTTGTCTCACACTTGTAAGCTCCTTTAAGACAGGGAACACCTCCTGTTTGGTTCAATAAGTAAATCAAGTAAGTGCTGCTCTATAATGGTAGATCAGCTGGTGGTAC